ACTAGACCAGGGGATCAGCCAAGTTTTCTTTGGTCAGAAGCAACATAAATTGTCTCTCACTCTTATGAAGGAAAGAAGTTTGCTGGTAGGGTCTGAGCTAGTTTACCTCAGAGCCGAGTCTCAGGGAGGATGAGACAGGGAAGGACCCTCAGTGTTGCAGCCAGAGGGTCTACTGTTGGTCTGGCTCAGCGGCTCCCACCGTTTTGTTCTTTTTGCCCTTTGGATCCAGGTATGGGGGGACCTGATAGGCCTGGCTTGGGTCACAGGTCTACCCTTGGGGGAACATCAGGCCTGTGTGGTATTATTACTCCAATTCACAAAAATGAGGGGATGGCTAAAGGAGGTTCCATGAAGTATAAAAATAGTGATGGAAAATAGAAGCATATCAGACAAAGAGTGACTAGGGCTCAAGTGGGATTCACTTGTACTGGGATAAGTGAATCTGAGAGTATGATGAGTTTGAGTAAACAGCCACAAATCTATATAAATAAAACCAAACATTAGAACGAAAATAATCCAAAAGTGAATTAAGAAGTCCAACAGTGAGTATCTGGAAACTACATTTTCCTCTACTAAAAATTCATTAGCCCAGTTTCTACTGTTGTAAAACTCAGCCCCTTTCAGCTTTGAGCACCACTGCAGACTAGGTGGTCTCAAAGCCTTCTTATTGCGACACAGTGCAGAAAACACACCCTTTGAGTTACCTTTTGCTCTCACAGACTTAGGAGAAGATTCCAAGAAAAGTGAGCTGAGGCCTGAGCTGTCAGCAGCTGGGAGAAAAGATTGCCTTAGGGCAGGTGCTGTCAGCTGCATAGAGGTTAGAATACTACTTATGGAGCTGGTAGGAAGCCGAGCCACAGTCTCTGGTAGTGGTGCCCTCTGGTGACCAGAGACAGAAGCAATCTCTCTGGAAGAAAGTGTATCCAGTTTTAACCCATAGGATACCGACAGATTAAGAACAAGAAGTTAACTGTCATTACAAAGGCACATGGGAAGGCAAGCCATTTTGTGTGAGTTAACAGATAAAGCAAAACAACAACAAAACAAATGTATTTAGAGTTCCTCCATCCCTTGAATAGCAGATCTTGGAATTGTGAGATTCCTATTTAATGGTTGAAGAAATAAAGAATACCGTAACAAAGATGAAAACCAGATTCAATCAGAAACAAACAGGGAAATTTTGAAAATGGATCTTCTAAAAATAAAAATATTTCTTTGAACTTTAAGAAAGCTCCTAAGGCCCAGCTGGTGTGGCTCAGTGGATTGAGCATCAACCCATGCGCCAAGAGGTCGCCAGTTGATTCCTGGTCAGGGCACATGCCCACATTGTAGGCCAAATCCCCAGTGGTGGGAGGGCATGCAGGAGGCAGCCAATCAGTGTTCTCTCTCATCAATGTTTCTATCTCTTTCTCTCTCTCCCTTCCTCTCTCTCTCTAAAATCAATAAAGAAAAAAATTTTTTAATAAAATAAAAAAGCTGCAGTGGATGGGTGAACAGCAGATGAAACACAGATGAAGAGAGAATTAGTGAACTAAAAGGCAAATACACAGTAATCACCCAGAAAACAGCACAGAGTAACAAAAAGAAATATTATGGGATAATAAGAGATATGAAGGATAGAATTAGAAAGTCTAATATGTCTATTTTAGTCCCCAAAGTAAAGAATAGAGAACCTGAAGAAATGATAATAACTGATAATGGCTGAGCTAGTTCCAGAATCTGTAAGAAAATATAAATACATAAAGCCAGGAATTGTAATATATCCTAAATTGAATTAAAAAATTAATGATCCAATTCACCTAAGTGAAAGCATAGTACACCAAAACCAAGAAGGTATTAAAAAGGGCTAGAGAAAAGGGATAGATCATTTATAAAGAAACAATTAGATTGAGGGGAGACTTCTCAAAACAATGGAATCCTTGAAATATGAGAAAATAAACATCACCAGAGAATTGAGAGGAAATAACTCTCAACTTAGAACTGTGTACAACCAAAACTATTTTTCAGAAAATATGGTGCAAAACAAGATATTTACAGACTATCAAAACTAAGAACATTTGCCCTCAAGAAACGTGTAAAGAAAACTTCTAGCCCTGGCAGGTTTGGCTCAGCAGTTGGAGAGTCGGCCTGCGGTACAGAGAGACCCGGGTTCGGTTCCCGCTAAGGGCGTGTACCTCGGTTGCAGTTTGTCCCCGGCCCTGGTTGGTCGTGCGGGTGGCAGCCACTCGATGTGTCCCTTCACATCGATGTTTCTCTCTCTCTCTCTTCCTCTCTCTCCCTCCCGCTCTATCTGAACAAAAAATAGAAAAATGTCCTCGGGCGAGGAAAAAAAGAAAAAGAAAACTTCTAAAGGGTGTTCTTCAGGAAAAGAGATACAGATACCAGGCATAGGATACAGGAAGAAACAGTGAGCAAATAACATAATAAATATAATTTAAATCCAAATAATCATTGTTTGAGTAAAATAGTAATAATGAAGTATAATATATGCATAAAATAATAAAATTTTATCGAAAAAAACTAGAAGGAGACCTAATGAAATTGAGAGAAACAATTGTGCTCATAGTTAAAACAACTCAATATTGTAAAGATGTTAATTTATCCACAAATTGGTCTAGTGATACAATATAATTCTAATCCAAATCTTAGCAGGGTTAGTTTTTTGTTTGTTTGTTTGTGAAAGTTGTCAAGATCATCTGAAAACATAGACAAACAAAAGAGCCAAAAATAGTCAAGACGTTCCTAAAGCAAAAGAATCAGGTGGGGAGCGCTTGGTTTTATTAGACATTCAGACTTGTACAAAACTATCATCCTGGCACAGGGTAGAGACAAAATGACCAGTGTAACAGAAGATAGACCTCAGAAATAGTCATGGGCACATGTGGAACGTTGATGCCTGTGTGTCTGAGGTCACACTGGAGACCTGTGGAGAAAGGATGCTGCAGACTGGCAGCCTTTCTGGTCAGTTAAGTGAGATGGTCTCTGTGAGGAGACAGTGTTTCTGGTGGCCAGCATGTGGCTTCTCTTCATGCAGGAATTTAAAGAGGAATCTGGGGTAGTTAGGGTGCACTAGCCTCAGCATCCCAGCTCCTATAGAGCAGCCTCCTGGCTTTGCCTCCATCACTCTTTCTGCTGCCACACCCTGTAGAGGCAGCACAAAGTCCGGGCTGAGAAACGCAGGCCTGAACATGGGCCACCACTCTGGAGTCAGAAGTCCTGCCCCTGCCACTTCCTAGGAGTGTGGCATTAGGAAAGTGACTTTCACACTCTGAGCCACTGTTTCCACCTGGAAAACTCGGCCATCCCTTCACCCTGGCGGGGTGATTGTGAATTACAAACAAGAAAATGGGAAAGCTCTTTGAGGCCTGCTGAGCAGAACGTACTGGAGGACTAATTCCTATTTCTCCCCACCCGCCAGCGATCTCTCCCGTTCTGTTCTCCACGCAGAAGCCACGCCCTGCTCGGGGGTAACAGTGGTGGAGGAGGATGAGGCACTCAGGGCACCAGAGAAACTTTGGGGGAGTGGAAATAGCAGCTCCTTTCTGAGTCAGGCTTCACTCTCTATCCAGCCCTTTTCCTTCCATCAGCCATTCATGCACCTATGGGTCCGGTAAGTATTTCCTGAGCGCCTGCACCAGTGCCTCTATTCCACGGAGTTACATCTTACCACCACGTCATCAACACCTGTCTCAATCCTGGCATTTGTGCCGAAAGCAAAGCCCCTTGCAGCTCCCATCTGGCTGGAGGATTCGACAGAGCCCTTCGGGTAGTTTGGTTTGGAGCCACTAATGACAACTGGGCTGAGCCCCCGGGAAACCATGCTGGGAGCACGAGAATGCTGACAGGGATTGGAAAAACCAAACCCACCTTAGCCACACCTTCCTCCATCCAGTCTGACAAACCTGAGCAGGCACTGAGGAGGCAGACGACCAGGGCTGCAACTGGACAGGACTTTGTGATCCAGCAAAATGGGTGTCTTCTTGGTCAGACCCGGGGACAGCCAGGCTTCCAGAATAGCCCTGCCAAGTTTAGGAAACAGGCAGGCTTTTCATCCTGGCTCCTCCTAAGTCCCCATGTCTAGACGTTTGCTTGGCGACACCATGGTAACCATGATGCCACAATGGAACATTCTCCTAAGGTGGCAGAAGGAATCCCTGTGTTGGGCTCTGCTGCAGAAGGTCAGAGTGAGCTCATTTCTCCTTCAGCAGGAGCAGTTCACAGAACTCTGAGAACCATCCTGACAAGAAACACCCGGTGTTATGAGTGGAACATGGTGACTAGGAATAGCACCCATGGGTCCCTTGGGCTCTCATGCATTGTTTAAGGCAAGGGTAGGCCTGAAGGTATGGCAGGTGGTGAAGACATGTGGATTTTGGATTTAGACAGACCTGAGCTTGGATTCAGCCTTGCCACTTGGCAGCCGAGTGCCCCTGGGCAGGCTTCTCAATGCCTCTATGTGTCGGTTTCTAAATCTGTAAGATGGGGTTAATGATAGTGTCTATTTCATGGGGTTATTGTGCAGATTAACAGAGCAAAACGTCAGGGCTGTTGCTACGTAAAAGCATGAGCTGTCCCTGGTTAAATCCAGCAGAGTTTAGTAGGAGGGACGAAACCAGCGAGTGCTTACGCTAAACCCCTGCTTTTTCCTTTCGGCAGCATTTTATAGCTGCAGAGTTAAGGCGAAGGTTGAATTTCACAAGCCCGAAAAACACTTTTCTGAGACCCGACTCTCTGGGAACCCAGGGATCCTGGCTGGAGTGACCGGCGTGGGCTGCCTCCTCTCCTTGGGCCATCTCACAGGTCCTAACGGAACCTCGGTGCTGGGCAGCTGGTCCCTGCCTCTTGACTGCACGGAACCAAGCCACAGGGAGCTGACAGGTCTGTTCCTCCCACCCTGGAAGCATGTCAGTGGGAAGGAGAGTCTGGGCCTGCGGCGCTGGGGGGAATCAGCACTTTGCAGAGGAGGGAAAGCCTGTGCTGGGCTGTTGTTTCCACAGCTGCCCATGGTGTCTGCTGCGGCTGTGCTTGGGGATGGAGTGACAGGGATGCTCCTGGTGCTGCTCTGCGCCTCCCACGCGTCTGCCAGTGAGTACACTGCTTCCTTCTGCCACTTAGCCGGCCCGGAACCCACAGCAGGGGGTCGTCCCAGAACAGTAAATGGTCCTTCAAGTCCAGAGAGGGACTCAGGGGGAAGATGATTCAGCTCTGCTCTGGCAGCAGGCAAAGAAGTGGAACGTGGGGCATGGATGTAGGAACTGTGGCTTCAGCTGCCTGGTGTAGGGGTTAATCCTCAGGAGAGAGTGCAGTTAGGAAAATACACCTCAGGCTACGGGGAGGCCCACTGGACGGAGGGGACTGGTGTGAGGCCTGCCTCCCATTCACAGCCCCTGCCCTGCTCTTCCTGAGGCGCATCCCCAGGCCCCACAGGTGGAGGTGTCCTCCCAGAGCCTGGTGCATGCGGGACCAGGCCCTGCCTGTGTTTCTACTTCAGCATTGTGGGTCCCAAGGAGCCTTTTATCATTAAATCAAAAGACTATACTTCTGCCCTGGCCAGTTTGGCTCAGCGGTTAGAGCATCGGCCCTTGGATCAAAGAGTTGCGGGTTCGATTCTGATCAAGGGCATGTACTTCGGTTGCAGTTCAGTCCCTGGCCCTGGTCGGGGTTGTGTCGGAGGCAGCCAGTCAATGTGTCTCTCTCACATCGATGTTTCTTTGTCTCTTTCTCCCTCTCTCTCTCCTTCTCTCCCACTCTATCTGAAGATAAATGGAAAAATATCCTTGGGTGAGGATTAAAAAAAAGACTATGCTGCTAAAGTGACCCCCAATTGCAGGGCTGGGCACAGGAGCAAGGCGGGGCTTGGAGGCTGCCGAGGGCTGTGGGCAGAGGTGGCAGTGGCAGCCCCTCCCTGACCTCCCGGTTGTCCAGAACAAGATTGCAGCCTAGCGAGGGTCAGATGGAGAGGGCGCCCCTGACTACAGCAGGCTCCGCCCCATCTCGCTGCCACTGCAGCTGGCTCTGTCCCGTCTTCCTGCAGTTAGATGGGCAACAGGAGAGAGCCCTCCATGCACATGTCAACAGAACTCCCTATCTGCCGGGCCTACGTCACCTCCTTGCAGCCCCATGAAACCACGGGATGCCCACAAAACACAGAAAGGGCCTCTTAGTCCTCAGGCAAGTGACCCGGGGCAAATGTTTCGTCTCTGAGTCAGATTCCCTCATTACAGCCTGGCCTTCCAAGGCTTCTATGAAGTCAGACGAACTAGTCAACTAGGACTTTGAAAAAGTAAAAGTCACCACACATCTGTGGGCTCTTGTTGGGTTTGGAGGAACTGGTTAAATGTCTTGTTCACCATAGTCCCCTGAAAAAAAACAAGGGAATTCCTGTCTCTGGTGATGCTGAAGGACTAGTGGCCTTCCAGACATCATCTTGCTAACAACCAGCTCAGTGTCTAAGTTTCAGTCCGCAGAGGTGTTTGGTCACGTGCTGTGCTGTCGTGGAGAGTCTGCTGTGGTCCTTCAGTGACAGTACCAAATGTTACAATCAACTTCAGTGTTATGATTCGAAAACTCTGCCTTTGGTGCTCACCTCAGATGTCACCCCTGGGGGAAGCCCTCCCAGACTTTGTGCTCTGGGCAGAACGCACACCTCCTCTTCTGTATACTCTGGGCGCGCTCCCGTGTCACGAGTCTCTGCACAGCTATGAATCTCCAGCGTCTGTCCCCCCAGGCACTGTGACCTTGCCTGGCCGGACAGGGTCCTGAGATCCCTCCCTGTGAGCCCAGCGCCTACCTCAGCGCGTGGCAGGGCTGTGTGTGCGGTGGGAGGAGCGGCTGGAAGAGCAGCCGCCAGTGACCTGAGCCGTGGTAGGTGAGTGGTGCCCACCACGTGACATCCCTGGCCTGGGCCGCTGATTTAGAAAGAGGCACAGGGTACTCGGAGTTTGGGATTTACACACAGCAACCAGAGCAGTGAAAAAATACGTAATAATCCATTCGGCCCTTGGGTTTAGCATTATCAGTCGGGGATACAGTCGGCAAAGCACCTTCCCATAACCTCACCCCAAGGGGTGTGTTATACCATGTTCCAAAAGAGGGCACTGAGCCCTGGCCGGTTTGGCTCAGCGGTTAAAGCATTGGCCTGCGGTCTGGAGAGACCTGGGTTCGGTTCCCGCTAAGGGCGTGTACCTCGGTTGCAGTTTGTCCCCGGCCCTGGTTGGTCGTGCAGGTGGCAGCCACTCGATGTGTCCCTTTCACATCAATGTTTCTCTCTCTCTCTCTCTCTTCCTCTCCCTCCCTCCCACTCTATCTGTACAAAAAATGAAAAAATGTCCTCGGGTGAGGATAAAAAAACAAAACAAACAAACAAAAGAGGGCACTGAGGCCCAGAGAGGCGAAGTGGCTCGCCTCAGGTGTCACTGCCTAGGAGCCTACTGGACTTGGGACAGTGCATCCAGGGCCTTCCTGAGACACTGGGGGTTCTCAACCTGGAGTACACATTGGAATCTACCCAGGAGCTTTCATTTATTTATTATTATTATTTTAATGTGTTTTTATTGATTTTTTTAGAGAGAGGAAGGGAGAGAAAGATGGAAACACCTATGTGAGCACCAATTGGCTGCCTCCTGCACGCCCCCTACTGGGGATTGAGCCTGCAACCCGGGCATGTGCCCTGACTGGGAATTGAACCGGGACCTCTCATGGGAAGACACTCACTCTATTGAGTCACACCAGCCGGGCTCCCCAGGAGCCTTTAAAAAATGCCAGTGCCCAGGCCCTGTCAACAGAGGTGTGGGAGGGGCCAGGCAGCAGGTGGATGAAATTTGGAGCCAGGTTGAGAAGCCTTGCACTCCACTCTCCATAGGTGGGGACGAGATGGGCACCCAGGGACACACTGACCGGCGAGGGAGGACACGGGGCAGCCAGGCAGAGCACAATCTCATAATGGTGCCTGGGAAGGAGGAGGCTCAGTTCACCCAGCCTGGGGCTTTGTGTTTCACGAGTACTTCCTGTTCTATTATTCTAACATCCTCCACGAATCTATAACTATGTAACTTTTTTTTTTTTTTTAATACAGGGCAATACAGTCACCTTGGGACAACCAGAGGGCTGGCAGGGGGGGAGGTTATTATTTAAAACTTTAGTCAAGATTTAACTCTCGTTTGAAACAAAGTCCAGACTGCCCAAGAGATTGTCCAGCTGAGGGGGACACGCGAGGGCTTGAGAAGGCCAAGGCAGTCGGCCTGCGGGCGAGGCGGAGACAGCCTCCGCCTGGAGGGGCCTCTGAGCCCCCGATGACAAGGTGTCAGGGACTCCACACTTATACTCATTTACCAGATAATTTATTGAGTGCTTACCATATGCCAGACACTGTGCCAACCCCTAGGGATACACTGGCAAGCAAAGCTGACGTGGCAGGAGGAGCCACTCATGCCAACAGCCGGAACAAGTGGGGACAAAAAATGTGGGGATATGAAATGTGGCTTGAACAGAGACTGTGAGGGGTTGAGTGTGTGGAGCTTGGGTTCATCTGGACCGGCCCTGTGTCCCACCAGCTGTGTAACCAGGGCAGGTGCTTACCGCTCTGGAGCTCAGCTCGCCCACCTGCACGCAGGCCAGCAGGACCTCTAGCTCTGCTGGAGCCACTGTAGGAAATCGTGTGTGTCAGCAGTTCCCGAACATGTTGGCTTCAGGACCCCTTTATACACTTAAAAATTATTGAGGCCCCCCCCAGAGGCTTTTTGCTTATGGATCTATATCTTTCCATATTTATCATATTAGAAATTAAAATGGGGGAAAATTTAAACAGAAGAATGTACATGTTCGTACATGTGATCAGCCATCAGAGTGATGACAGCATGTAGCCTCTGGAAAATTCCACTGAGAGAATGGAAGAGTTTTAGTTTTAGTATTTTCAGTATTCTTATGAAGATGGTTTTAACCTTGCAGACCCCAGAAAGGGTCTTGAGGACTCCCCAAGGTCCTAGACTCCACGCTGAGCACAGCTGATGTATCTAAAGGTTTCAGACACTGCCTGAAACTCCCTAGGGAGTGATTATCTGTAGCCTAATGTTATTTTTAGATTCAAAGATACCACCAAGAGTCTTTTATAGGGAAGGAGACCAACTAGAAAAAGAACTGAGGGTGCAAGAATTAGTGGTGACCAGTATGGAGAGCCAGACAGAGTAAGATACAGGAGGGGGTCCTTTGCTCTAGTGTGGTGTGGTGGTTACAGGCCACTAAATCCTTGCCCAGCAGTGAGACACCACCTCCCACCCCGCATACCCCATCTGCAGGTTGTGGCATCCAGAAAGTCAACGTTGTAGAAGATTCTGAGGAGGGTTTGGTCAGCGAAAAGGAGTTCCCTTGGGTGGTGTCCCTGCAGAATTCCCACCACACCCACCTGGCTTTCGGCAGCATCCTCAGCGCATTCTGGATCCTCAGCATTGCGTCCGCCTTTCAGAACAGGCCAGTACCCTGTCTTTGGGGGCCCTCACAGCCTCCCCTGGGCGGGATGTGGGGGCTCCATCTTCCCACTCAGCTTGGGGAGGCCTGCAAGGTGGAGTCCTGGTGACAGGGTAACAGGGCCTTATTACTGGCTCAGCACAGTTGAGAGTCTTGACATCCTCGGGCCTCCAGAAGCCAACGCTGAAGCAGTCTGGTGTCTTCAAATGCAAAGTGACATGGCTGTTCCTCTATCCTCTGTGGGAAGGACGTTCCTTCCCATTTCACTGGGATCACAGAGGCACTACCATTGATAGGAGCCCTTATCCTAAACCTGCCTCAGGTCTTACCAATGTGCTTGCCACACATGCTCACAGAAAAGGCGTGCAGGGACCTGGCAGCGCGTTCACGCACTCATCGCGCAGGCTCGGACGCACGTGGTCGTCATTGTTTTCTTTGAACTTCTCTGTGTTTCTCAAATTCTTTACAATTAATGTGCATCTTTTTAAACCAGGGGGAAAAACCCAAACACCCACAAATGTTATTAAAGGAATAACTTTTTTTGTAAAACATCTTACTTTTTAACCCAATGATTTCACTACTGGGAATCAACATTAAGGAAATAATTTCAACCACTGGAAAAATTTTATGCACAAAGTTGTTCATAGGATGGTTAATAAACAAAATACTGAAACATATATTATCATTGATAAATATACTATATTACTCCTCTATATAGTGTAGTATATATTGCATAATATAGACATACAGAATATGGGGAGGATATAATTACTATAATTGGCAAAACAAATTATAGTATAAACCTTCAATGGAATATTGTGCAGCTGCTGAATATTTTAACATATGACTTATATTTCTAAATTGAAAATACATGTATTTAAATGAAAATACATGTACGAAGTATAATGTTCACGAGGAAGCAAAGAAGATACAAGGAAAGGCAGCCCTGCCCTCCCTCGAGGCTCAGTTACTAGTACCCCTCCCTCGAGCTGTCACCAGTTTCTAGGGTATTCTTCCTTAAATACTCAATGCATTTACAAAAACCTATATACCTATAAGTCTATATATATTGATTCTTGTGTCTACGACAGATGGAGAATTCTCCCCCGTCCCCATATTAGTCTGTTGGGGCTGCCATAACAAAATACCACAGACGGTGGCTTCGAAAACATATTTATTTCTTACTGTTCTGGAGGCTGAAGGCCAAGATTAGGGTGCTGGCAGGGTAGGTTCTCCCGAGGACTCTCTCCTTGGCTGTAGATGGCCGTCCTCTTATGGTGCCCTCACGTGACCTTTCCCCTGTGCGCTCGAACTCCCGGTCTCGCCTCCTCGTCTTATAAGGACACCAATCCTATTGAATTGGAATCCTAACCCCTATGACCTGATTTAATCTTAATTACCCCCTTAAAGGCCCTATCTGCAAATATAGTCACATTTAGAGTTGGAGCTTCACAAATGAGTTTTGGGGGACACAAATCAGTCTATAACACCACCCCCTAATACAACTAGTAGCACACCATACACAGTAGTTCACTCAACTTTTTTTCACTCTGTCATGAATGGGAGGTCTTGTCTTATCGACACACAGAGAGCGACCACATTCTTTTCATTGGCTGCACAGTATCCCACGATGGATGCACCATAATTACAGTCCTCTAATGATGGAAACTTGCATTGTTTTCCATCTTTCACCAGTACCAACAATGCTGCAGGAGACACAGCAGTCCCTACGCTGTTTCACACATGTGGGTATACTGCAGCGTGAAGCCCCGAAGAGCGGAAAGGCTGGGCTGTCTTGATAGCTACTGCCAACTAGCCCGTGGGAGAGGTCTGCTTTGTGTTAGTGTTTCCATTATGGCTATTTTCTGTTTATTTTGCTGTTTTGGTTTGATTTTCTGTTTGACTCAGGGTTTTATCAAAGGCAGAGTTTTAAAATATCCAGGTGGTAAGGTGTTTGGTTCTATTTTCTGCATCATTTAATTTTGAGTTATCCAGGGTGGTGATTTAGGAATTTGTTGAGGTGTCCTGTGGTCTGCTATATGTGGTCTATGTGAATGTTCTCCATTTTCCCCCATTAAAAAAGAAATTGTTGACAGTGTTACAGACGTCCCCCATTCCCCTCCCTCTTTTACTCTCTTCACCCAGCCACCCCCACCTCAGGCCTTCACCGCACTATTGTCTGTGTCCATGGGCTATGCATATATGCATGTAAATTCTCTTCCCATTGCCCCCAACCCCCTCTCCTCTGAGATCTGCCGGTCTGGTCCACGCATCCATGCCACTGGACCTATTCTGTTCATCAGTGAATTTTGTTCATTAGATTCCACTTACATGTAAATATTTTCTACAGGTAAATTCAAAAGTTCATTCTCTGTTTGGGGTGTACAATTCAATATATAAAATTGGGGGAGGGTGTCTCCTTGATCTGTCCTGGGCTGACAGAGGTGAATTAAAATCTCCTATCACAAATAAGCTTCTGGCTCTTTCTCCTGTGCTTCCTGGGGTTTTCACTTTGCAGACATTGTGTCACTTGCTGCTGATGTTTATAATTGTGAGGTCTTCATGGAGATGGAATTCTTTCTCAGCATTAAGAGCCTTTGTTTGTCTTCACACTCTTTTGCTGAAGTTCAGAATGGAAGTCCTGCTTCTTGTTTTTCTTTTAGGTTACGCTTTCTCTTTCTATTGCTTCTTGGTTTTGTTTTCATTTTATGGCCTTTGTTTTGTGTGTGTCTCCTGACAACTTTGGAAAGTTTGAATTTTTGCTCTGGTGTTCACGTTAGAGTTCGAATTAAGTGGAAGACCCCTGAATCCTGTTTCTTTCTGGAGAGTACCCTGGGCTCCACTGCGGCCGAAGCCAGGGTTCCTCTTTCCATTCTCTCCTGCTCCTCCATTACCCAACTGTAACAGATTCTGTATGCGCTTTAATGTTTACCTGATTCATATGCATCTTTGCACATCCCTGTTACTTCATATATTAGCTGTGAATAAACATATGTTTAGACTCTTATAGAAGATGAGAAAAAACCTCTGACTTTTTTTTAATGTAGTTTTAGTTACACCTGTTGATCATTGCCTAGGCTTACATTTTTACTCCCATCTAGATTTTTTAGTTTTAATTTTAATTTAATATTATAATGAATTCCACACTTACTGACAGTCCTTTCGCTGGATTTTCTCCATTCAGCACTAGAATTGGCTAAATTTGTCTTCAAGTAGTTTTTTTTTTTTTCAATCCTTACCCGAGGATACTTTTACGTTTATCTTCAGAAGGAGTGGGAGGGAGAGAGACAGAGAAACATCGATGTGAGAGAGACACTCCTATTGGTTGCCACCCGCACGACCCCAAGCAGGGTGGGGATGAACCACAACCAAGATACGTGCCCTTGGCTGGAAGTGAACCCAGGACTCTTTGGTGTTCGGGCCGACACTCTAACCACTGAGCCAAACCGGCCAGGGCTCCAAGTAGTTTCTTTTTTTTTTTTTTTTTTTTTTTTTTTTTTTTTTTTTTATCCTCACCCGAGGATATTTTTTCCATTTTTGATACAGATAGAATGGGAGGGAGAGAGAGGAAGGGAGAGAGAGTGAGAAACATCGACGTGAAGGGACACATCGAGTGGCTGCCACCCGCACGACCAACCAGGGCCGGGGACAAACTGCAACCGAGGTACATGCCCCCAGCGGGAACCGAACCCGAGTCTCTCCAGACCGCAGGCCGACGCTCTAACCGCTGAGCCAAACCGGCCAGGGCCCAAGTAGTTTCTTAAAGGGCTCCCAAGAACCTTACTGCCTTGGTTTTTGCATATTCAGAAATGTGCTACCCTTAAACTTGAACGACCAGCTACGTATAGAATTCATGGATCACAGCTTCTTTTTTTTAAGGTCCTAATAGACATTACCTCTGGCTTCTGGTACTAGATCTTACTGTGGAGAAGTCTGAAGCCAGTCTGATTGCTTCCTCTCTAGCTGGGTGACCATAAATCCTGGCATGCCCCGGAGAGGCCTGGTTAACACCCTGTCCTAGTCTGCTGCTGCTAGCACCCCCTTTCCCACGCACACACTCACACAGTCCGTGGGTTAGACGATAAATTAGGTGGCCACATTTAAGATGACAATTTTTTTTTTGTCTGAATGCCCAACGATTCCTTCCCAAGTCCAGCAATTTTACTAGCTATGCTGGATCTCCCCATTTGCCCCTCCAGACCCACTCCTTCCTCTTTTCTACCCTCCAGGTCCCAGGAGGCTGGCCTGTGTGGGCTATGCCAATGGGTGCTCTTGCCTTCTGGGCTTCAGTCGGACTTGGCCAAAGGGAGCACTGGCAAGAGATCATGGGGAGTGGGGAAAGTGAGGTTGGGGTTCTTATTCCCCTGAGGGGTACTGCAGACTGGCTGCCTTCTCCAGTCAAGTGACCCCCTCCCCACAGCTCTGTCTGACCGCTTCCTCGCCTCAGCTGGAGCCTAGCGTGACACCAGCACCCTGATGTTACCTCAGCAGGAAGTTGTACCGCGCGAGTCCCTGTGATTTCCCTACATCCTGCCAAGACCTTTGTAAAGAGTCCCTTTATTAGACCTTCCTCAGTTGACCTTATTGCGTATGCCATCTGTTTTCTGCTGGGAGCTGACAAGAATATGTCTCGGTGGTGATCATTCTGTTCCGATATGAAGTACTCTTCCAAACTGTAAGTTATTTCCAGAAAACTTTCTTAAATTATACACATCTTGAAGTATTTTTTCTTTTGTTATTCTGGTTATCTTCTTTGTGGTCTGCTGCCCCTCTGTTGACTGCTATATTTGTCATTTTCCTCACTGGCCTTTAAACATGTTTTGATTGATTTTTTTAGAGAGAGAGGTAGGGAGAGAGAGAGATGAAAACATTGAGAGAGAAACACCAACATAAATTGGCTGCCTTCTTCATGCCCCCTACGGGGGATCAAGCCCACAACCTGGGCATGTGCCCTGATCAGAAACTGAACCAGTGACCTCTTGGTGCAATTCCTCGCTCGACTTTAAAAGTCTTTGTTGTCCTGGACAGGTAACTCAGTTGGTTACAGGGTTGTCCCAATATGCCAATGTCACAGGTTCGATCTCCAGTCAGGGCACATACAAGAATCAACCAAAGAAAGTATTATCAATGCCTCTCTCTCTCTCTCTCTCTCTCTCTCTCTCTCAACACAATCAATACAATTTTTTTTTTAGTCTTTATAAATGCCCATTTCACTGTGGTCACTTTCCTCAGTCCTACCTTCTGTGTCCCTTATTGTGTTTTCTGTGGTCTCTGTTCTTCCTGTTGCTTTCAATTTGACCTTTGTTTCGGTGACGGTTTATTTCTGTTCTTTCTACTTCTTTGTGGAGAGGCAAGTTTGGCCAGCTTTCCTGACTCTGTCGCAGCGGCTATCATCTATAACCCCCTCCCCTTCTGTCCTTCACAGCTTTTGTCAGGCCTCACTCTGATTCCAAGGTTTGGATTCTCTAGTGTCTCTTGGTTTTATAGTGTTTGCACTTGTTTTTATTCTCATTGGTTTCTTGGATGATTCCCAAGAGGAGAAAGGGAAAACACCCATTGAACTCCACCATTATTAAAATCAAAATTGCTCTGACGTGCATTTACAGTGTATATAATATGGAAAGATGCTTGTGTTAAAATGTTATGTGCTAAAATCAAGAGTTAAGATCACATCTTTGATAGGACTACAACTATCTCAAAAAAAAAAAAAAAAAAAAAAAGCTATGCATAGAAAAAACGATAATCAGCCATAACATAACCTATTATCTCGAGGCAGCGGGACAACGATGTTAAGATAGAAGAATCTCCAAGGTTCTCTGGGCTCACAAAGGAGGGCATAAGCCCAGAGGTTCAGAAAAGATTTCCTGGGATTGGGTCCAAAGGGTGAGTAAAACTTAGCCCAGGGAAGATGAGTTGGATGTGTTCCAGGCTGAAAAAATAGTAAATATGAAAATGGGGAAGTACAAGTTTTTCTTGGTGCCTCGGCTTCTCAAGATCCCCTTGTTCTCTCTAGGAAGGACGCTGTGGCCATAGTTGGTATAGCGAGGATGAATGCCAGAGTGATTTCTCACCAAGAGTACCCAATCAATACCATCATCATCCACGAGGACTTTGATAACAAAACAATGGTTAATAACGTAGCCCTTCTGAAGACAGACACGGCGATGCAGTTCAACAGCCTGGTCCGGCCCGTCTGTTTCCTCAGCAGAAAGCTGCATAAGCAACTAGCCTTGCGGAACTGCTGGGTGGCAGGATGGAATCCCACGTTTGCAGTTAATGCCTTCCTTCTCCTAGAGGAGGCTGTGTGTGTGCTTGCAGTGGGGTGACTTGGATGAACCATTCTAGGGCTTAACTTAATAATGCAAGTGGCTTGAGGTTCTAGAGTTGGGCTGGAACCCTTACCTGATCAGTCAACATTCTCAGTGCTTGCGCTTGCTGTGGCCATTCTTACCTTTGGTCCTTTTTCTTCTGGTCCTACCCCAAAATTGGAAGTATATAGGTAGCTGACCACCCGAAATTAGTGCGAAGTTAGAGAGGGGACAGGGACATTATTCCCAAAACTAGAGCAGATTGTTCTCTTGTCTAAGCCATCCTTGTTTCCTTGGGAAACACATAAGGAAATGTATTAATTATAGATGTTGAGAAAGGATGTATGTGTTCTCTGCCTATATTCACATTCAAATTCAAAGCAAAAGTAATTTTCAGTGAAGTCTCAGACACAGGTTCTGATTTCCATGAGAAAAAGGGGTTTATCAGAACGATTTCTACTCACTCCCATCTGGACATGCGGGGTGTAGTTGAGTTGACTTGGGGGATGTCTTCTTGTTAATAATTCCTGATCTCTCTGTTGCATGGTCTAGACAGGAAATCGCATGACGATGAGTATCCTGAGAAAAATCTCCGTGAAAGACATGGACCTGTGTCCCTCAAACAAATTGCTGAAAAGAGGATGTGGCAACCACGTAGAGGAGGAGACCCATACTGTCTGCTTGGTAAGAACGTGACAGAGTGGAGGCTCAGTGTGGAGAGGAAGCAGGGGTCACTTCCAGAGATGGTGAACTCATGAGGGCAGGACGGCTACTGAGACTGGCAGCTGTCTCTGTGGCGGATAGCACTTGGCAGACAGCAAGTACTCAATAAAACACCTGCTGAATGGACCACCCAGCCACTGGTTTCAGTGTAACGTGATTAAGCAATTCCACTTTCAAACATAGATAACTCACCAGGGTCACCTATCCAGCTGAGTGTGCCGAGCTTCTGCCCAGGCACCTGAAGTGAGATAAGGTCCCCGAGGACTGTGTCCAGAGGAGCAAGGAACACTGGGAGCATGTGTAGTGACAGGCAGCTGCCCGGGTGAAAAGCTGTGACCCGAGTCCAGTGCATGCTGCCCAGGAAGTGTGACTCTGACCCTAGCAGGATTGTGGGTGGGAGTCCGAGGCTTAGATGAAGGATGGAAATAGAAGAGAGACGAGAAGGGAAAAGGTACCCATTCCAGGCCAGAAAGGAAAGAAATATCAACCTTTGAGGAATGAGAAACCAATAGAGGGAGAGGATTTAATCCAAGTACTGGAAAGGGGCAAGAAAATGAAATGCGAACCAGGTAGCTACAGGCAAACTGCAGAAGTTTGCAAATAATTTGTATTATAAAAGGAAAAGTCATTTTGTTGAAGTTTGTAGTGGTGGCTGCCTAGATTGGAAAGAGTATCCTATTCTCTACCCATTTCCAGTGAGAACCAGTGTAAAGTATTTCTAGAACAAAGTTAATTGCACAAGGATGTATTAAAAATGAAACTTTTTTAAGACCTGAAGCCTTCTGTCCTTTGTCACAGGGGGACCCAGGAAACCCACTAATGTGCCAGCTACAGGGATCGGATCTGTGGGTGCTGAGAGGACTCCTGTCCCAGGGTGGTGAGAAGTGCCCTGGTCTATTTCTATACATCAAAGTGGAAGACTACAGCAAGTGGATCACCTCTAAAACCAATATGAACAGCCTTCTCCTGTCTGCCTTCTACCACCGGGAGAATTCCGTTACTTCCTATAGCCCCTCAACACCTACTACTGCTGTGACACAGGAACAATATTCTACGCTGAGTCAGGTTTCATGGACCGAAACACAATCGCAAACACAATTGCAAACGCAAACAGAGGTCACCATCTTCATGGCCGGAACTCCATGGCTGGAAAATAGCTCTGAAGAGAGTATAGAATCCAGGGGAAAGGGTATAACAGAGTTAGGCAGTATTTCCGAGTCGTCTGTACAATCCACGCACTACAGCTATTACGATGACCATGTTGGGGAGGGTGAGTCTGTTTCACATCAGAATGGGTTACATCAGCCCCAAGCAATGATCTTGGTTTCTTCTGTGCTTGTTTCTTTTGTAATGGTAGACAGGAGCTAGCCCTCCGCACTGAGGTAAGCTCAGAATGCTGAGTGTCAGGTGTTCACCGCGCTGTTTTGGTGTCTATGTTTTATTGTTGCACACCTGGGCTGCCCCGGACAGGCCCATGGTGCTCCCTTCTCTGTCCCACTGCCACATGCGGAAAGGTCGCTTTCATTTGTGCTTGTGAACTAAATGTGGGCTAACAAGTCAAACCATCAGAGTGCCCTGTGGTTCTTTCAGGGTCAACGGTTCCAGGGCCAGGCTGTGAAAACACCCAGCACAGGCTGATGTAACTCGGAGGTGACTGTCAGTCTGGCTGGAGAGTTGGGGACACCAGCCAGCGCAGGGAACAGCGAGAGGACCCCGTGACTAGAAAGGAGCTGATTATTTTAATGGATCACTTTCTGGTCTGCAGCCATGGCCGCCTTCTGGCTATTTCCCAAGGGAGGAAATCGCCAGCAACTGCTCATTGGTTGTTTTCATTTTATTCCAATTCTTGCGGTAGCCTTTTAAGGACATCTGCAAAAGGAAAGAGGGAGAGGGAAGGTCACTTGGGAAACCCCGATTATGACTATTCAGAATGCAGCCCTAGATGGTGCCCTGCATGCAGCAGGGCGTGGCTACCTAGGGTATCTGGAAGATTCCTCTAAAGAGCTTGTTTCTGTTCAGTAAAGTGAGAAGTTGCAGGTTCCTGCTGTGATTCTCTGCTACTTCTCAGCTTCAGATCCGATGGGCCCAATTTTGGGTCCCAGTTTCCTTCCTTCTGTGGAAATGGAGCCAGGGTCTAGATGTCAAAGTGCCACGCTCCCCTAGCAGTGTCCTGTGTGCGCTCAGTGCGCAACCTGGCCTGGGCCGCCTGTGCTCCCCTTTGCCAGGGCCAGCACGTTTTTGCATATTTCCCATTTCTCTTCCACAGCTCACTAGGGGAATGGTGCTTCTGCGTACCCTGCATCACAGGAAAAGGCTGCGTTTTTTAGCCAAAAACGAAGAGGCCTGTGGCAACTATGTAAACGCACAGAATTGAGTTCTGAGTAATATTAAAAATCCGTTATGACCTCATTTTTTTTAAAAAACTGGCTTCATGTATGAAGTAGCAATTACTAAATTATCAATGGGAAGGAGCAAGGATTAAGAAGCTTCCATAATTCATTATGAAAACAAGCAACTAAAAACACTACTACTACAGAGTCTCTTCCAGATAACTTGAAAGACTCTGCCCCTAACCATGAAAAAAAAGCTTTAAAAGAAAGGTCTCCTTTTATTGTGTAAGACTTGAAGCAACTGTGGAGATTTCTCACAGAGGTTACATGTCCAAACATCTGCATCCTTAGCTTGAAAACAAAATCCCAGACAAAAATGGGAAGGATACAAAAGACTGCACGCCTGGGGCTTCTCTGTGACTTACCTCTGCAATCTCTACTTTTCTTTCCCACATCCTGATGGTTTTCTCCAGGTCCCCATTTAGGATCTTCTCCCTGACGTACATCATCACTGGGGGCACTCGGAACTCGGCCAGCTGCTTCCGCAACTTCCTGTTCAAAGCCTCGGCTTTGGCCCGGTCCTGGGTTGGGAAGGATCAAGTAAACCCGGGATCCCTGGTGCTCTGGCCTATTGGAACTTACTGGCCCTCCCATCTCTTCCCAGTTTCAGTGTAGTTCTAAAAACAATGTTTAAATTTGCAAAGGAATGAAGGGAATCACAAAATTCTCATTTTTTACAGATTGTGATGTTTTCATCCAGTTCAGAAACACTAAATACAGTTTAAAAATCTCTTTTCCTCCCTCTCTCCCCCTCTCCCTTCTTTCCTTCCTTCCTACCTCCTTTCCTTCCTTTCTTCCTTTATTAAGAAATATATTTTACTTATTTTTATTTCTTAGGTTTGGTTTTCTCTTTTTATGGATACAATTATGTATTTAAGTACATCATTTTGATTTTATCAATCTCAACCCACTCTCCTGTCCTTTTTAAAATTTTTATTTTTGGAAACAAATCCACATGAAGAAAACAAATAGTACAAGTAAAGGTAATTAGGTAGCAATTATAAAAGACAGTATAATTGCATATTTTCCTTCTCTTAACTGATTTAAGAAGCAATTCATAAAATAACATGCATATAATTGTATTGGGGGCCTATTCCATATAAAAAGCAATATATTTGACAGTAACGGCACAAAAGAGGCAGGCTGAAACAAAGCTGTATTTGAGTAGGGAAATAACATGTAACTCAAATCCACACGAAGAAATGGAGAGAACCAGAGATGGTAACTAGGAAGGTTAATGTAACAAACTACAAATACACTCCATCCCCTTCCTTCTTTCAGCTTTTGGACCCCTTCCTCACACCATTTACAAAACTCAAAATGGATCATAAATCTAAATATAAGACCTTAAAACACTCTTAAAAAGAAGACATAGAAGTAAATCATGATATTGGGGTAGGTAATGGTTTCACAGCTATAATACCAAAAGCACACGTGCAAAAAAAAAAAACTTAGATGAACTACACTTTATCAAAATGGAAAACTTTTGTGCTGCAAACAGTACTATCAAGAAGTGAAAAGAAAATCCAAAGAATGGGAGAAAATACAGGGTAGGGAAAAGTGGTTTATAGTTATTTGTATGGAAAAAATAATACAATTAAATCAAGAATAATTAAACACAAGAATAAATTGCATTTTATGTACTTGCAGCTGTAAACCTACTTTTGCCCCACCCTGTATTTGCAAGTCATATATCTGATAAGGAGTTTGAGTCCTGAATAAATAAAGAATTTTTACAACTCAATGACAAACAGATAAAAAATTAAAAACTGGATAAAGGACTTGAAGAGACATTTCTCAAAAAAAGACAAGTAGCCAGTGAGCACATGAAAAGATGTTCAATGTCATTAGACATCAGGGAAATTCAAATCAAAACCGTAATGAGAGCCCTGGCCGGTTTGGCTCAGCGGTTAGAGCGTCGGCCTGCGGTCCGGAGAGACCCGGGTTCAGTTCCCGCTAAGGGCACGTACTTCGGTTGCAGTTTGTCCCCGGCCCTGGTTGGTCGTGCGGGTGGCAGCCACTCGATGTGTCCCTTCACGTCGATGTTTCTCTCTCTCTCTCCCTTCCTCTCTCTCCCTCCCACTCTATCTGTACAAAAAATGGAAAAATATCCTCGGGTGAGGATAAAAAAAACAAAAAACAAAACCGTAATGAGATGTCACTTCACAGCCACTAGGACAGCCATTTAAGAAACCTAGGAACAAGTGTTGGGGAAGGTGCGCAAGAATCGGAAGCCTCATACCTACAGCGATGGTGCGACTGTGAAATGGTCCAGCTACTTTGCAAAACAGCTTGGCAGTTCTGTAAATGTTAATCATAGAGATACCATATATATAACCCACCGTCTACTTTTAGCTATATGTTCAAGGGAAAACAAAACCTATCTACACACAAAAAACGTGTTTGTAAATATTCACAGCAACATTATTCATAATTGCCAAAAAGTGGAAACATCCCAAATGTCCATCAACTGATGAATGGATAAAATGTGATTTATTCATGCAAGAAAATATTATTCAGCCATAAAAAGTAACAAAGTACTGATATATGCTACAACATCAATATTGAAAATGCTGTTAAAATTAAAGAAGCCAATCACAAAAGACCACATATTGTACAATTTATTTTATGTGAAATGTCCAGAAAGGGCAAATTCAGTGGTCACCTAGGGCTGGAGGAAAGATGAGGTGGGAGTTGGAGAAAGATTTGTAATGCGCACCGGGTTTCTTTCTGGGGAACCAAAAACGTTCTCAAGTTATTATTCTGATAGTTACACAACTCTGTGAATACACTATAGACCACAAAAATGTACATTTTATTTTATTTATTTATTTATTTAATTATTTATCTATTTATTTTTCCCCTTGATTTTAGAGAGAGAGGAAGGGAGAGGGAGAGAGAGATAGAAACATCGATGAGAGAGAACATCGATTGGTCGTCTCCTGCATGCCCCCACTGGGGATCAGGCCCACAACCTGGGCATGTGTCCTGACCAGGCGACCTCTTGGTGCACGGGTCGATGCTCAACCACTGAGTTACACCGGCCAGACCCAAAATGTACATTTTAAATGGGTGAATAATATGGTGTGTGAATTGTGTCCCAGTGGAGCTGGTGAAAACGTTTATAAGCTAAAATACACTGAGCAGTGACTGCCAGGCTTTCAGAAATGGATTTCATGGTTTACCTGTAATCTAATAAATGTGAACCCCCCAAAATAAGTACCACAGAAAGGCTATGTGGAGAGAGCACACTGACATTTAAAAAAAAATAGTAATGTTTGCATTTATTGATTGATTGATTGATTGATTGATTGTTTGATTGTTAGCACACAGACTTTTGCCTTAACAGTGTCACCTGCCACTCTGCACCGAGACTGGCTCTTGCAGAGCATGTTGGTTCTCCATTAAGAATATGATGCAGCCACCGTGGAAAAGCTGAGTCAGATGTAATAATCCTGTGGCTTTTTGGCCACTGTAGACAGGTTTAGGGCCACACACACTGCTAGGGACATTTCAGGCCCATTCAAGACAATGACACTAATTTTTGCACTCATGGCTTTAGAGGTTGACAAAGCATTGCTAGACATGTTCCTATCTGATCACCACAAGGGTTGTGAAGGCTATTTTACAGATGTGGGAACTGAGTCCTGTCTAATTTAAAGGCTACAAACCGGCAACACCAAACCTGATGTCGGTCTTCTGACTACAAGTCCGTAGCAGCCCCCTATTTCCCCAAAAAGTCTCTTCAAGGCACTCACATCCTGGGTGCGTTTAACTTGCAGAAATTCCACTTTAGATGCTCAATAAAAACACTGAGCGTGCTAAATCATAATGTAGGTGATGCCACATCTTTTCACACTGACCAGAGGGCCAGGAGTGAGCTTAGGACAGAGGTCAGAGGTCTACCGTCCAAGCATCCACTGTAGTAAATAAGAGTTACATGTCCAAAGAGCTCTCTCTCTCCTTTACATAGAACACTGCATTTCGGTGTGTGTACTTTTCTTCATATCAGTTACATTATTACACGCATGTTATATAAGATGCTATTTTACTTCATGGGTCATGTAAGGAATTCTTGAGGATTATTTGGACTACACATGATTTCGACCTTATGAGCTGACTCTAGAACCTAACCCGGCAGACTGGGGCACTGCTGGTACCACTTTCGTCTTTGACAGCCCAGAGAGATTTTTATTTTGATGGTGTAGAGTTCTCTGGACAAAAACCAAGGTGGCTTCAGTCTTGGTGGACACTGACTCAAGCCCTTGCAGACAAACACCAGAAACAGCACATATAACCCTCTCTTACCTCCTCTACTTGCAGGGTTTCTCTCTCAATTTTTTCAAGTAACTCATTTCTCAGCAAGATCTCCTTTTCCAGATTGATGGACATTTCCATTGCTCGGTGTAGCCTGGTCTGAAATATAACAGCACAGCATGTCTTGAGCACAGATGATCCCTCGGAGCTACACAAAAGACAGCCGGCTCTTACGATGGAGGAGGAAAGCAGGGCCGCGCAGGACCTGGGCCCGCCCTTCTCACGGCTGCCCGGATCCCCAGAACCCTACTGTGGAGGGGGAGGGGGAGGAGGGAACCCTGGGAGTCTTGTTCTCACCTGCAGAGAGCCAGACACTGAGACCCAAATCCCACCCCACCACTTACTAAGAGAAAGTTTGCACAAGTTCCAGAATCTCTCTAAACTTGGTCTGGTCACCTCATAGGGCCGTGGAGAGGTTTAAGACATACAATCTTGATAAAGTGCTGAGCACAGTGCCTGAGGGTAACTGACTCTTAGAGAGGAGAAACAACTTTCCTAATATCACAGAGGAGCAGGAGCCAGGATTTGAACTCAGACTGTGTAACTTCTTGGCCCCTGGGCTCCACCACTGTCTGCAATGTGTGCCTGAGCTGGAGGAATCCCCCTGCAGCTTCCTGGGGCACCACCCCACCCCCGGCCCATGCTGCTTACATTTGCCCCTTCTGAACAACACTTCCCAGTAGAAAAGAGTCATCCTGGAGGAGTTGGGGTATGTTCTGCTTGGATGAGAAGTGAGCCAAGGGACAGGAGCCAGTGACTTTGGGGGGCCCGCTCAACAGACCCTGAAAACCTCCTCCTGGGTCTTGCACCAGGCACTGGCCACAGAGACAATGTAGACCTCCCATCAACAGGGAAGCTTGCATTCTAGACAGAGGTGCAAGATGTAATGTAAAACTGCCGCTGTGCCAAGCACTAAGAATGTGAGCACAGTGGTCACGAAGGTGGCCCTGGGGGAAGGGATGCTGGGAAGAGCTGAGAAGTATGTCCAGGTAAGAAGGACAGAAAGAACTTTCCAAGCTAAGGAGAGCCTGGAAGAGAAGGATCTAAAAGGAGCTGGGAGGGAGGTGGGTGCTGGAGCAAGGCAATGCCCCAGGGTTGGCTGTGGGCAAAGGGAGGCAGGGCAGGACTTCCCAGTGAACCAGCAGTTCAGAAGGGAAGGAGGAGAGCAGAGGGAAGACATTCCCCCCACAACTTACAGAGATAGGGCAGGAAAGAAAGGAACTGCAAGGGGTCCCTGACTCTGGTGGGGCAGGGCCTTCGAGATGTGATGGGAGCTATTTGTGATTCTGAGCACAGTGTTGGTATGGCATCTTGGCAGAGTTCAACTGGATTCTCTGCCCAGGAAGGGTCCCATGGGGCTGAAGTCAAGGTATTGGCCGGGGCTGTGGGTCTCATTTGGGGTTGGGGGTCCTCTTCCAAGCTCACAGGTTGTTGGCATTTCCTTGAAGTTCCAAGACTTAGGTCTGTTTTCTTTTGGGATGTCAGCAGGGATGGCCCTCAGCTCCTTGAGGCCACCTTCAGATCCCTTCCACGTGGCCCCCTCAACCTCCAAGCCAGCGATGGGGAACTTCTCACCCAGCAAATCCCCTTCATGTTTCAAATCTGTGACTTCCTCTTCCAGAGAAAACTCTCTGCTTTCAGGTTCATGGGATTAGCTTGGGCCTGCCCAGACAGTCTCCCTATTTCAAGGTCAATTGTGCCGTATAGTATAACTTAATGATAGAACAGAACAGAACCTAATAATAGGATCCAATCTGTCCACAGGAATTGGGAAGGGTGTATATACTAGTGTTTGGGGGGGATTTTGGGGGACATCTTAGAATTCTCCCTATCACAAGGCACCACTAGTTTACTGTCAGCTAAGAGTGACATAGGAGGGTGAAGTGGGTAAAGAGGGTCAAATATATATGGTAACCAAAGGAAGCTAGACTTCAAGTGGTGAGCACACAATAGAGTATACAGATGTTGAATTATAATGTACACCTGAGCCCTGGCCAGTTTTGCTCAGTGGTTAGAGTGTCAGCCCGCAGACCAGAGAGTCCTGGGTTCGGTTCCCGCTAAGGGCACGTACCTCGGTTGCGGTTTGTCCCCGGCCCCAGTTGGGGTCATACGGGAAGCAACCAGTCGATGTGTCTCTTTCATGTTGATGTTTCTCTCTCTCTCTTCCTCCTGCTCTATCTGAAGATAAATGCAAAAATGTCCTCGGGCAGACTTCTGATCAAGATGGCAGGTAGGTAAACGCGGTATTGCGTCCTCTCATAACCACATCAAAATTACAACTAAATACAGGACAACCATCACTCAAAACAGCCTGAAATTGAGCTGAATGGAAGTCCTACAACTATGAAATTAAAGAAGAAGCCACATCGAGACTGCAATCAAGACTCAATTACAACAGAAGGGTATAAAGTTCACACAAGGGGTGCACCCCCAGGGCCCAGCTGGGAGGCTGTGCCACTGACCCTACAGGCCACCTACTACAATAGGCCACCCTAGGAAGCCCAGGAGACATAGCAACTCTACCTAACACATAGGAACAAACACAGGGAGGCAGCCAAAATAAGGAGACAAAGAAAACTATCTCAAATGAAAGAACAAAACAAAACTCCAGGAAAACAGCTAAACGAAATAAAGATAAGCAACCTAACAGATGCAGAGTTCAAAACACTGCTTATAAGGATGCTCAATGAACTTAGTGAGAACTTAAATGAGCTTAGTGAGGGCCTCAAGAGCATAAAAAGAGACCAATCAGAAATGAAGGATGTACTAACTGAAATAAAGAATAATTTACAGAGATTCAATAGTAGAATAGGAAAAGCCAAGAAGCAAAACCATCGATTTGGAATATAAGGAAGCAAAAAACACCCAGTCAGAACTGCAAAAAGAAAAAAAAGAAAAATCCAAAAAATTAGGCTAGTGTAAGGAGCCTCTGGGACTACTTCAAGCGTACCAGAAGGAGAAGAGAGAGAACAAAAAATTGAAAACCTATTTGAAACAATAATGACAGAAAACTTCCCTAACTTGGTGAAGGAAACAGACATACAAGTCCAGGAAGCACAGAGAGTGCCAAACAAGATGAACCCCAAGAGGCCCACACCAAGACACATCATCATCAAAATGCAAAATGTTCAAGACAAAGAGAGAATCTTAAAAGCAGCAAGAGAAAGGCAGCTAGTTACCTACAAGGGAGTTCCCATTAGGCTGTCAGCTGATTTCTCAAAAGAAACTTTGCAGGCCTAAGGGGAGTGGCAAGAAATATTCAGAGTGATAAAAGCAAGAACCTACAACCAAGATTACTCTATCCTGCAAAGCCGTCATTTAGAATCAATGGCCATATGAAGAGTTTCCCAGACAAGAAAAAACTAAAGGAATTCATCACCACCAAACTGTTATTATATGAAATGTTGAAGGGTCTTCTTGAAGAAAAAGAAGATAAAAAATATGAACAAATAAAATGGCAATAAATACATATCTATTGACAATTGAATCTATAAAGAAAATGAACAAGCAGAACAGAAACATTCTTGCCCTGGCCGGTTTGGCTCAGTTGGAGCAGCGGCCTGCGATCCAGAGAGACCCGGGTTCGGTTCCCGCTAAGGGCAAGTACCTCGGTTGTAGTTTGTCCCCAGCCCTGGTCGGGTTGTGTGGAGGCAGCCACTCAATGTGTCCCTTTCACGTCGATGTTTCTCTCTCTCTCTCCCTCCCACTCTATCTGAACAAGAAATGGAAAAATGTCCTTAGGTGAGGATAAAAAAAAAGAACAGAAACATTCTCATAGATATAGAGAACATTTTGTTGGTTGCTAGATGGGAGGAGGGTAGGGGGAATGGGTGAAAAAGGCGAAGGAATTAAGAAATAAAAATTGGCTGTTAAACTGACAAGCCTCAAAGGGAAGAGATAAACCAAAGAACTTACATGCATATATGCATAACCAATGGACACAGACAACAGTGTGGGGAAAGGCAGGAGGGGGTCAGGAGCGGGGAGGAGGGGGCCAATGGGGGTAAAAGGAAGGACATCTGTAATACATTCAGCAATAAAGATAAGTTAAAAAAATAAAAATAAAATAGTATTGAAATACAACTTTAAAAAATGTCCTCGAGTAAGGATAATAAAAAAAAGTAATAATAATAATGATGATGATGTACACCTGAAATTGATATAATGCTATTAACCAATATTATTTCAATAAATTTAATTTTAAAAACACAGTTAATTAATATCTACTAAACACTCTCTAATAATAAAACACATAATTTTTTTTCAAGAGTGACACACCACAGCTGTAGTCAAATGATCATAATATACCAAACTCCACCACTCAGGGCTTGTGGGCATAAAGTGGGAGAGAAAGGTGCCCCTTTGACTGAGGCTCACTCATAAAACTCACAGAAAAGAAGAGACCGTGTCTGTCCCCTTCCTGGCTGTGCCCTCAGCACTTAGCGCTGTGCCTGGCATGCTCAGTACACTTGGTAACAGAGGAAAGCTATTCTGCATGTTTGTAATACGATCTCGCATTTGGGTGTTGGGTACTTATATGAAGTTGTCCCTCCTGCCACCCTCCCACCCCCTTAACACACACCTGAGTCGTAACAGTTCACTGGACAATGGTAACTGAGCACCTGCTTTGGCCCAGCACTGTCCTTGGTGCTGGGGACACAGCACAGACCAGCCAAAGCCCTGAGGCACAAAAACCCACTGCCAAGTGGTGAAACATAGTGCCTGGGGTCCCGAGTGGAGTCCCCATTCAAACTCAGGCCTGACTGCTCAACTCACAGCTGTTCTGCCTCCCTTTCCCCCAGGAGACCTGAGCACTGAGACACGAAGGCAGTGGGCCTGTTTTTCCCTCGGCCTCTTGCTGTGTCCACCCCTTAGGACTCCTGTGAGTGGCTCCATCATCTGCTTCCTATTATTTGTAACCAGCCTACAAACACAGTGGTCCCTGGGATTCGGGTGGAAATGGCTCTTGTGAGCTCAGACCCGTTCTAAAGAGCTCAGGCCCTGTGACCTGCCAGTTTCATTTTAAAAACCAGTAGCTCCACTCCAAACCCCTGGCTTTTCCCCACAAGATCAGACAGGCCCTGTGTTCTTTAAATGATTTCGCAGGATAAGATCAAGGTCCAATGTGATGTAACCTCTGCTGCCTGGCTCTCCCGCCAACAGGAGCCTGGGAGTCACGAGGACTGGCTTCATCTGGAAAGAACAGTGATCAGTTAAGCTAACTACTGACAAGATAAGCTCCAAGGGATGATCTGTTGGATGTTTATGACACCGTCGTGGGTGACAGTGCATTTCAGAATGCCCGCACAATACTGTCCACACACTTGATGCCAGCTGGGGTAGGTGGGACATGCACTGGACTGGGAGTCGCAGCTCTGTCAGAGACGTTGTTTGGACCTGGCAATTACTCTTTGGTCCTTTGGTTTTTCTTTGTAAGAGGAAAATACTGGACACACATTAGCCTAGTGTAAACACATTCCAATTCACATTTAAAAATGACATCGTGTGGGCCAAATTAAGCCCACCTGTGAACCACCTGCTACCTGTGAGCTGTACCTGGGTACTAGGCCAGGGGTCAGCAACCCTGCTCTGGAAAAAGCCAGCCAGACAGTAAATGTTTTAGGCTTTGCAGGCCAAGAGGCAAAATTGAGGATATTATATAGTTACTTATATGAATAAGAGAAAAAATAAATTTCCACAAGTGTTTTATTGATAAAATTTCAAATATAATACTTAAGTACAATATTTTGAATTACAGGTCTACTAAGGAGAAGAAAGGGATTTCTGGGGAAGAAACCAATTTTACTTACTTCGATTCCAAAGGTAGTGTTCTCTATCAGATAGGTTGCAAATGTTCTGTAAAAGTCATTCTTGGCTCACCGGCCAGGGGCCAGATACACTGGCCCCTGATGAGCTGACCACTGCATCAGCCAGTTGCTAACAGGGTGACCGGACAGCCTGCTGGCGACAGGCGCTGTTCATGTCTATGGTCTTGCTTAATTATTAATAGTGCCACTTTTTCTCCAAAAAGCATTCTGTGTGGATGAAGAATTACTTTGCATTTTTCTGATTTATAGCTAAGATGGTTTTCCTTCACAGGGTTTTAATCAGGGAAGTGCATTCTATGTACCTAAATGTGGTTAGTTCTCAACACTCACTATTCATTAACATCATCTGGGGAGTTAAAAAATAAAAAGATGCATGGCCCTTACTCTCTAATCCTATTGGTCAGGGTGACACTAGCGTATCCTCATATCTTTTAAAACAATAAAAGCTCCCAGGTGGTTCTAGCGCACCCAGGGTTGTGAGAACATTCCAAGTGTTTTGGGAGATGTGGCTGTCACAGGAGAACTCAGGGGCTGTGGGAGACCGAACGGCACCTATGCCTTTGTGGGAAACTGTGCATGGGAACCTCACTGTGGTCAGAAAAGTGGAGGCGGGAAGCCACGGGGACCTGGGCACTGGGGCGGACCTTACTTTGAACGCGTTGAGGACCTGCAGGGTAGTTCCAGATGCCAGCTTTAGCTGGATCAGTTCTTGATTCCTTGCTTCAATCGTCTCTAAAAACTGAGCATTCTCTATCTTCAGCTGCTGAAAATCAACGTCGTGGAGGGCCTCACCCACCTCTTCCTTCTATGGCTCAGAAATAAGAAAGAAATGATACGAGGTTGTGACTTCTGAATGTATGGCTCACACCTTGCAACTCTGGGTAAGATTTTGGAAGTCAGGCATCATTTATCATTCGACAAACACGGATTATGTATCTGCTTGGTGCCAAGCATGGCACTAGGCCCAGGGTCCAGAGATCTGAGTAAATAGGATACTCCCCAACCTCACTGAGAAGCACATATCAATGAGGGTTCACAGGCGGGTCACAGTCTGGTGTGGCGCACAGGGCACTTGGAAGCCCCCCAGCTAGGCCAGGGGAGAATGGAAAGCTGGGTCAGGGAAGGCCTCCCACAGAGGGCCACGCCTCAACAGCTATGAAGGGAGAGTAGGAAGAAGGCCATTGAAAAGTGGTTTTAACCTGGAAAAGCTGGGACAAGCAGTCTACTGGGTTCCCGCCCTGCCACTGCCCCACCAGCTCTGTGCCGTCTTACATTTGTGGTAGACAATGGCCAAATCAGGACTGTTTCCACCCCCATGCTCTAGTCATGCTGTACCACATCCTAGGAAACATCTTCTTCCCTCAACAATTTCCTTAAGGCCCAGCATGACCCATCCTCCAGCTCAAACGCTCCAGCCTCTTTGACAGCAGAGGGTAATGCCTCCCTCCATTGAGCCTCTGGAAGCTGTGGCTGAGGTTCTTGCTGCTGTTGCCTCCTACATCGCTGCCTTTTCTCACCACTCCACTCCCTGCTAGTCTGTGAGCTTGTGAGAGCGGAGCCAGTGTCATTTCCGTGCAGCAATGGCTTTAGGTTAAAGGTCATCCACCAACTCCTCATCACATACTTAAACCCCCTCTTCAGGCTGCCTGAACTTGCATGATGCCCAGAGGACCAGGAACTCACTGTCTGGAGGCAGCTTTGCTGAGGCCACGTTCTGTCTTACACTGAACTCCAATCTCCCTTGCTGACACCTCCAACTGCCACCCCCCAACACACACACACACACACACACACACACACGCGCGCGCACACTCGCTATGCCCTCGGGCTCTCTCAAGTGGTGTGTCCTCTCCTCCAGGCAGTGCCTAAGCACTTGAAGACATCAGCCAGCCCCTCTGTACCCTCTCCCCTTGGGCCCAAGTCCTCCCCCATGTTTTCTGCTCCCCTTGCGCTCATCTCCCTCTCCCATGTGAATTCTAGTTACTGATTCTTTTTCTCCCCTTTATTGATTTTAGAGAGAAAAGAAGGGAGAGGGAGAGATAGAAACATCAATGAAAGAGAACATCAATTGGCCACCCCCTGCACGGCCCCTACCCAGGATTTGGCCCACAACCCGGGCATGTGCCCTGACCAGGAATCGAACCAGCAGCCTCTTGGAGCATGGGTCAATGCTCAACCACTGAGCCACACCAGCCAAGCTAGTTACTGATTCTTTCAAGCCTGGAGCTCTCCCTGAGAGACAGAGCTCCAGGTCGGGCTCCTCAGAACAGACTGGAACTCCTTTCCTGGTGGGGCACTGTGGTTCTTTGAGTGCACCCAAGACCCCAGCATCGCCTCCAGCTGAGCTGGCTAAGCCATCTGGTACCTGCACAAATAAGTTGGGGATCAAAGTAGAGGATCTTACATTTGTCCTTAGTCACTTTTTGTTGTTAACGCTGTCCCAGCTTGTTGAGTCTTTCGAGATCCTAAGTCAATCAAGCAACAGTCCCTGGACATGTTAATTCTCCTGCCCGATGTTGGATCATTGTCAGTGGCCACCTCTGATGTGCATGCCATCAGTGCCCAAATTCAAACTAATAATAAAAACACTGAGCTAGGAGAGGATGGAGCGTGTAATCACAAATTACTGCCATGTCTGCCTTATTTTCTTTAGGTCAGCTGTTGAAAGACTCACCAAAGAACACTACAACTGTGCCACCCAGGCCACATCCCCTAAAATGATCAACAAGTATGACACAAGGGTCTTTTAAATTCAAGCCAACTCCATCTATAGATTTCCCAGCACAGTAACTGTATTAGTTTTCTATGGCTGCTGTACCAGGTAACCACAGATCTATTATCTCACAGATCATGATGTCAGAGCCTGAGATGGTTCTTTGGGCTAAAATCAAGGTGTTGTCAGGGCTGCATTCCTTCTGGAGGCTTTAGAGGAGACTGTTTCCTTAACACTGACAGCTTCTAGAGGCCGCCTGCATTCCTTTGTTCATGACACCATCTTCTGTCTTAAAAGCATGCCATTCTGAGAGCCCTGGCCAGGTAGCCTAGTTGGTAAGAGCATCGTCCTGATACACTAAGGTTGCAGGTTTGATTACCGGTCAGGACACATACAAGAATCCACCAATGAATGCATAAATAAGTGGAACAACAAATTACCGATGTCTCTCTCTCTCTCTCTCTCTCTCTCTAAAAATCAATGGATAATTTTTATTTTTTTTAAAAAAGCACATCACTCCAATCTCTGCTTCTGTTATCACATCTTCTCTCTTCCTCATAGGACTCTTGTGATTACAATGAACGTGCTCAGATAATCTAAGATTATCTCTCCATCTCAAGATCCTTGACTTAATCACATCTGCAAAGTCCTTTTGTCATGTGAGGTAACATATTCAGATTCCAGGAATCAGGACACAGACATCTTTGGGTGGACATTGTTCTACCTATTACAGTAAACTTAAAAAAAAAGAGAAAGCCACATACCTGCCTCAATTGTAAAAGCATCTTTTTCCTCTGGACTTTGAGAGAAATGTTTTTCAAACGCAATTTATCCTTCATATGATCCTTAAAAATAAAAGCAAATTTTAATCCACTTCTCTTTTTCTTCCCTGTTGATTTGAAACGGTAAATCTTCGGCTACAAACCAAACCTTGAGCCCTAACAATCAATCATTTATTTTAAGGTCTTTTTCATCTACCCAAGTTGGTATTGCTATAGCATTTCATTCATGACCAAGAAGCAGAAGAAGCTGGGTCTGCTTGATGCAAATTTTCTATTGCTTTTAAATTCAAGATAATTCAGGTAGAGGGGCCTTTCCTTACAAAATTATCTAATAATTCTTTGGTCTTTTGTTCTCTTGCTAGTTTACATACTTTTAAATACTTATACATATTAGGGTTAGTAAGCCTACCTATCTCCAGGATCCAAGCTGATATACTATGGAATCTTTGGACGTGAAGGAGCATTTTATGTCTCATTCTTATAATAATGAAACTCAAAGAGCTTGAGATGTACCTGTCCCACTCCACAGAGTCACCTGACTAGATAGGCTCACACATTTCTCAAGAAAACGTATCAGCCCTGGCCAGTGTGGCTCATCATTCCATACACCATAAAGTTTCAGGTTTGATTTCTGCTCAGGGCACATACAGAAGGCAACCAATCAATGTTTGTCTCTCACATCAGTGTTTCTCTCTGTCTCTCTCTAAAATCAATGCATGCCCTTGGGTGAGGATTTGAAAGAAAGAAAACATATCAGATCTTGAAACAAATAGCAACAATAAAAAAGAAGTCATCGATCTGAGATACTATTAATCTTCATCCTGCCTGATTGATTTTAGGTTTGATAAACTTGTGTATTAAGACACACACTTTGAGAAATATAAAAAATCTGCATATTGATGCAACATTGATGGTGGACCAAATGGAGTGGGGCTGCCTCCCTTTGATCCTTTTTATTTCATCATTCCGTTCATCTCTTCTCCCTTTCTAGGTTCCAACCTCTTGCCAACTCACCCTCCGGTGGTTCATGTCCTCAATGTACTTCATCACTTTCTGAGTGGCCAAAATACTCCCTTTCTTCTTGGATATGGTTTTTAGGATATCTCTTTCAAACTCTTGCACTTCTCTCTGAACTTCAGTCCACCGAATTTCAGCTTCCTCAATGATAGCCTGGAGGCGTCAGCACAAAGAGAACAGTTTCCAAAAATTCCCAAGGATACATCTCATTTGGGAAACCTACATTCTCAGGTCTCTTTGTGTCCCAACATATAATGTTTCTTCTTAGTCTTAGAAATATATCCTTAAGATACAAATTTGACTATATGAATATTATTATATAAAAGCATGCTTAAAAAGTTAATAGTAAGCATAAAAAGGGGGGAAAACAAACATAAACAGAGCCTCAGGTATCTTTATAAATATGTATTTTCATGTCTGAAATATTATTTGTCCATTAAAATTATAACATTAATATCATATGAAAATATGATATTTGGTGTATATCTGGAAAGATATACACCAAAATATTAACCATAGTCACATCAGCAGAGCTGGATTAGTAGGGAGATAAAGAAGCACTCTTACTATATACTTCTGTAATTCAAAAAAGATGTTATAAATGAATATATGTATCAACATGGAAAGACATTGTTAAATGAAAATATAGTTGATAAGATAATATAATATCTTTTTTTGTTTTAATCCTCACAGGACATTTTTCTATTTATCTTCAGATAGAGAGGGAGGGAGCGAGGGAGGAAGAGAGGGAGAAGGGGGGGGAGAGACAGACAGACAGACAGAAACATCGAGGTGAGAGGGACACATCGACAGGTTGCCTCCTGCACGACCCCAACCAGGGCCAGGGACAAATCACAACCAAGGCACGTGCCCTTAGCCAGAATCAAACGCACAACTCATTGGTCTGGGGGCCAATGCTCTAAATGCTGAGCCAAACCAGCCAGGGCAATGTGATATCTTTTTATAAAGAACTTCATATATGCATATTACTGTTTTCAAATGTGCTTCTTTTAGCTTACCTGCATGTTTAAGTTTTGCTACAACAGATGGAGATTGCCTTTAAATAAGAAAACACAGAAACACACACATTCTTTTAGAGAATAAAATGAGAAGTTGTCTGTAGCTTCAGAGCAAATCATCCCAGTTCAGGCTTTTTCCACTGGGCGCCAAGAAGCAAAAGTGTCATCCTTCATTGGTAGGCCTCTGGCTCCAGCCTCTTCCCTCCCCACCGTCTTCAAATGCTAGAATATCAATCCACCTTAAGTGCCATTTCAACATGTTGATCTCCTGCTCAGTTATCCTCACTGGGGTCTGGCTTTCTAAAACATCAAAGATAAACTCCTGTGTCTGGCTTTTAAGGTCTCACATCCCTACTCAACCTGGTTTGCTAATACAGCCCTGCAAAACACCCTCTTCTCTAATCACACCAGCCCCTTCAACGTCAAGAACCTGCCATGTTCATTCCCACCTTCACTTCCTCGCTTGTGCCATTAACCTTACAGAGAGGACCCTTCTTTTCCTATTCTTTAAACTAATGCCATCACTCTTCAAGGCCATGCCACGTGCTATGTCCAGCCCCACCTCCTCAACAAAGTCTTCTCTGACCACTCTAGCCCACACCATGATGTGTACATCCCATGATCTAGCATGTGAGGACCATGCTACCACATCCTGAGCTCCTTTAACACACTAGAATTCAACAATGACCATTTGAAAAGAGAGAAAAGGAAAGTAGGGGGAGGGCACAAGGGAAGGGGAGAGGGAAGGAGGGGTAAGTTTATGCACTACGGATGGTGCCATCAATGGAGATGAATCTACTGATCTGTCCCTCTACAGACAATGAGTATGCTTCTGTGTGCCCACATTTAGAAATAGAAAAATTTAGAAATAGAACAGAAATATCTATTTTTCATATAACACAGCTCTTAAATACAAGCTAACAAATTCATCCCGTGGGCAACCTCATTAATAATCACATTTCTTCTCTGGAGATAAATGGACCATGTTGATCTCCAACAAGACATGGACCATAGTCATGCGTGTTGCTTATGGAGAGTGACTTGGGGATTTTTCAACCAACTACTGACTTAAACCTCAAACCCACTGTATTATTAAGAAATTATTATACATTTTAAAGGCATTTATAATTATTATGATTGTTTGTTTTTTAAAGAACCCATATCTCAGAGACATATACTGAAATATTTACAGGTAAATGATATGTCTAGGATTCTCTTCATAATAGCCCATTTGCCCTTTTTTTTTTATCCTCACCCGAGGACATTTTTCCATTTTTTGTTCAGATAGAATGGGGGAGAGAGAGAGGAAGAGAAAAACATCGACGTGAAAGGGACACATCGACCCGTACCACCAGTACGACCAACCAGAGCCGGGAAAAAACTGCAACCGAGGTACGAGCCCTTAGTGGGAACCGAACCCAGTCTCTCTGGACCGCAGGCCGATGCCCTAACCACTGAGAAAACCAGCCAGGGCCCATTTGCCTTTTATGAGGGGGAAGTTGATAGGGATATGGAGGAAATAAGAATGGCCATATGTTGATAACTATTGCACATGGGTGTTAAGTACATAGGAGTTCATTGTGCTAGCCTCTCTACATTTGTATAATTTTGAAATTTTACATTTTAAAAAGTTTAAAATTTATCTCCTTAAACAGATGGTAAGTTCCTTAAAGGTAGGTTCTTGCCCTGGCCGGTGTGGCTTAGTTGGTTGGAGCGTCTTCCCGTACACTGAAAGGCGATGGGTTCAATTCCTGGTCAGAGCACATACCCAAGTTGTTGGTTCGATCCCCAGTTAGGGTGTGTGAGAGAGGCAACCAATCAATGTTTCTCTCTCACATTGATGTCTCTCTCTCTCTCCCCCTTTCTCCCTTCTTCTCTCTAAAATCAATGGAAAACATACTCTCAGGCAAGGATTAAAAAAATGTAGGCCCTCAATTTGTCTCAATCTACTGGTATTTCTTTCAAAACACCAACAATTATATGAACATACCATAGGCACTTCTTGTGAAGGGCAAATAGGGAGCCCAGGTAGGATAGCCTGCAGAGAGAAAGGTTTACCTCATGATGCTGCAGGTCCCGTTCAGCATTTGCCCTCACGTGCCTTATTTTCTCCTTCATGTCTTCCAGCTCCTTTCGTACGAGCTCATATTTTTGGTCAACGCTGAGGCATGTTACACGTTCCAAACCTGAGCGGGATTTGGATCTATGCCTGCCTCGAAGCTATACCTCAAGAAAAACAAAGTCACTGTCAAAAAGTAGGAATTGGTAATAAAGCAGCCCAAAGTGGGCATCGAAACGATCTCTCAGACCTGCTAGAAATGTCCTGAATGACATCTAGAGAGAACAAACTCAGCGCGAAAGGACTCTGGATATTAGGCCTGACAATTTCAGTAGTCAACTAAAGGCCCTGAGCTAAATACTTCAAAGGTCTATGCTTGACAATGAACTAAAAATAAACAAGAGAAAGTGTCTCCAGGATGGAGAGAGAGACTGTGAACCTGCTATAGACTAGCATTCAAGTCAGTGTCAGGGAAAGCCTGGAGCTCACAGCTTCCTGAACTGAACACAGAAGAGAAATTGCATTGGGGGGATGGTGTTCAGCAAAGATAAACAAAGATCAAAATCTTGGATTTTCTATGCATTTAAGCCACAGGTCACAAGATGTGGCCCAGGAAGTATGTGGACCTCAAGATGGGACTGTGTAGCCCTCAAAGGATAGGTTTACACACAGTTTTAAATTAAAAAAAAAAAATTATCCACATTTCAAAATCAGAAAATTCCACCAAAATAATTCAAATTTCCAGCTTCTCTTGAAAAATCAACTATTCTGACATCAGTCCACTGGGTTGGTCTTTTTAGATGACGAAGGAACTTTCCACTGCCCACACCAGGCCCACTTCACCTCATTATGTGACTCGCTGGGCTGTGCAAACGTTATTAGTCTCACAATTTAAGAAAATTATTTCAAATAAACTAAGATATTCTGGGACAGTCAGTCCACCATGAATTGAACCTGTTTTCCTTCACACTAACTTAAAAGACAAAACTTGAGGGAGAAGGAAGAATCAAAATCAGAACAGGGACAAAGTCATATGTCACTTGGCCAAAGAAGGCACACCAAAGGCAGATACCACAAATACCACTGGCATCTAAGGGACAAACAGAATAGAACAATTCATAAATCTCCAAATGTACCTGTGCCAACTCTATTCCTGACATTTTAATTTCCGATATTCGTAGAGGTCGCTGATCCCTGGATTCCAGTTTATTGTAATATTTCTCAAACATCTCTGTCTCAGTTTTGAGAGCAGAGTTTCCATAGCTGCAAGACAGAGTGTACCTGAGTAAGTTCTAGTAATAGGAGTTTAAACACCAAATAAATAGCATTTAACACTACTAGCTATGTATGACCTTCTGCAAGATACTTAACCTCTTGGTGCCTCAGGTACTCATCTGTAAAATGGGAATAATAACAGCACCTATCTTTTAGTGTTGCGGTAAAGAATGCAAAGATTTCAGGACAGTGCCTGGCATACAGTAAGTGGTATTTAAGTATATGATATGTTTTTAATATAGGTAATGAGCCACAGAATTCAAATCACTGGTATTACGTTGAAAACTGTGGTTGAGTCCTGGTTGGTGTGGCTCAGTTTGTTGGGTGATGTCCTGTGCACCAAAAGGTTGCTGATTCAATTCCCCATCAGGTTGCAGGCTTGATCCCCAGATAGGGTTGTGAGGGAGGCAACCAATCAATGTGTCTCTCTCACATGGATGTTTCTCTCTTTCCCTAAAAAAGGAGAAACAAAAAAAAAATTTTAATAAAAAATAAATCAATAAAAACATATTTAAAAAAAGAAAAGAAAAGTGTTTTTAAGTTCCATTTTCAATCTTTAGATGTTTCCTTTGGTTTATGTTTCTCAGATTTTATTTCCAGCAACCAACAAATGAAGTATCCACTGGAAGTTTATATTATAAATGATGGAGAAGCTTTGAACAGGTGGTTTTTAAACAACTAGAGATGACAAACCAAGTTTATCCCGTATATGTCAAGATTATGACTCTTTAACTTCTTAACTTCATAGGTACATGCATGTAACATACATGTAACACATGTGCATGCATATGTTTATATAAGAGAGAGAACACGTTTGAGATTTTCATATGTTATTGAGTTAATTCCTGTTTGGCTGAATTTTAAGGTTAGTGGAAAAGGCTCAATGGAAAGCCTGATAAATTAAAGCATCTTTCTTTTTCAGCATATATCATGTTCCACTCTAGGTTGTAGAGCTGCACCTGAGTCTGAATCCCAGCACTACCACTGACCAGCTGTGTGACCTTAGGAAAGTGACTTAACCTCTGTGTCTGTTTCCTCACCCACCTCCTAGAGTTACTGTGCCATTATATAATATCATATATGCAAAATACTTGGCACATAATAGGTACTCAAAAAACAATAGTTATTAGTAATCATACCTCAGTTCTGACCTAAACTAGTTATAGATGTATGGCAGAACATCATTGCCAGAGCCAGGATGTTCTGTGTGAGACCAATAAGTTGTACAATTACGTCAACTACATCATGGAATCTTGATATCCAATTTACTGTCTATAGTAGATATAAAACAGACTGCTAAAAATATAGACTACTGGGCCCTGGCCAGCTTGGCTCAGCGGTTAGAGCGCTGGCCCGCGGACTAGAGAGTCTCGGATTTGGATCCCGCTAAGGGCACGTACCTCAGTTGCAGTTTGTGCCTGCCCCAGTTGGGATGGTGTGGGTGGCAACCACTTGATGTGTCTCTCTCACATCAGTGTTTCTCTCTCTCTCTTCCTCCCTCTCTCCCTTCTGCTCTATCTGAAGATGAATGCAAAAATGTCTTTGGATGAGGATTAAAAATACACACACACACACACACATACATACACACACACACACACACCACACACACACACATACTACTGGGTCAGTCATTCTTTGCTGTCCATCTCCATGCTTATTATACAGTGGTTCAGGCATAAGTTGCCTCAGACTAAAACTAACTGCCACATTAATTGTATCATAGATTCTTAGCATTGGATAGGGGTTTAGAGGTCACCTGGCCCAACCTGCCGCCACCTAGCAGAGGAAAGGCTAAGCACACACTTTGACATGAGGCAGATCCACCAGGCTAAAGCTCTGGCTTCGCCAATCACCTTCAGGGCTTCCCATCACCGTCAGCATACCCTCACACCTCCACATTGTTCTGGCTCCATCAACACCTTGTTAGTTCAGTGGTGGTGGACACTCAGGGGTAAAGGGCAAGCACTTTCCCCATTTTGTGGGGTCTCAGTTTCCTCAGTGCTCAATGCGGACTTTATCCTCTCCACGCTGGACCAAGGTCCGAGCCCACACGGTGAGCAGGGGCCGCCCCCAGAAGCCAGCGGGGCCAGTACCTGAGCTCTTCTACTAGGCTGCACAGGTGGATAACAGGCAGCTCGTTCTCCTCCGCGACCTGAGATTCGCTGAGAGGCGTGTCGGAGTCATTGTCAGACATCACTCTAACGAAACAGCCCCTGCCAATGCCAACTGTGGCCAAGAGAGCCCGGAGCTAGCGGTCACTCAGCCCTCCGGTTGCAACCAAACACTGCGTTGCCTGGCGACTGAACGCAGGCATGGGGGGCAGGCCTTCCGGAGGCCCCGCCCCGTGCTCCCCGACCATTTCCGTGAAGACCAGAGAGAGGGCTTGTCCTTGAACAGACACCTAAACGCTGTTTGCTTTTACTTCTTCAACAATAATTATTAAAATGCTAGTAATAGCAGCTACTGTTTATTCAGCACTTACTGTGCTCTTACTAGGCACCCTGTTAAGCATAGTTTATGAATATTCTGGTAACGACCTTGTAATAATACTCATTACTCTTTTCACTCTCCAAAAGAGGAAACTGAGACCCAGAAAGTGAATTCGATTTGTTGGAGTGTTTTCTTCCTCTAAGTCACTGTGAGACCTCTACTCTGTTCACCACCTGCTGCTTCATGCATACTAACTCCACTTTTTCTTAGATACCACTATCCTGCATTCCTGAAAGAACAAAACCTGGCTGATCATTAAATGAGTTTAAATTCAAGAGACATCTCTATGTCTCTGAGTATGTGTCCTGAGTGCCTTGGGGGAATGTCCTCAAGGAGTTTCCAGTTAAATGAGGGAAATAGCCCCTAAATCAGCTGTTGCAAACTGGAGTGACGATGATAACAGGTCATGCCCTCATGCCATTTTGTAGTTATCTCATTTAATCCTCAAAATCTTAAGGAATTGGTATGATCGTCTTCATTTTACAGAGCAGGAAACTAGGAAATAGAGAACAAAAGGGTCCTGCAGTAGGTCTTGGCTATGGTGCCAACAGCCCTGTCAATTGGGCTATGTGATACAGTGGACCCAATGGTGTTGGAGGACTCAGTGGTGGGAAAAGACACAGCATGAAGCTTTAAGGAAGATCCAGTGGGGAATCACAATGCAATACCTGGAATTTTGGGAAAAGACCGTGTAGTCCACAGCAGGAAATGTCATGCCTTTTGAAAAATAGCCCCTGGATCATCGGTTTGGCAGAAGACCATAGTAGATTATTACGTGAAAAACTGACTCAGTTTGCAAGCTTTAAATAATAATAATGACAATTGCCATTGTTATTTCTTAATATATTTATTATCAATTAGGTAATATTATTACTTAATAAAAACATTTATAACAATTATTGTTTCAGTTACTATTTGAGTGCTACCTACATGCCAGATGATGTGCTAAGCACGTTCCACACATTATCTTATTGCATCAGCATGATGGTTCTGTGAGATGCAGGTACCTTCTCAACCCCCATTTTACTCATGAGGAGACTGAGCTTCAGAGAAGTTTAGCAACTTTCTCAAGGTCACGTAGCTATTCTGGGTGGGGCTGAAATTCAAACCCAGTTTCATCCCACTTTGCTCTTCCCTCTCATCATATCCAGTGGTTGAGGATGGGGGTAGGTGTGAACTATTTTGCCCTTCCAGAGCACATTTGAAAATTTTCTGGAGATATGTGTATTTGTTATAACTGAGGGGGTTGCTATTGTCATCAAACAAATTGCATTTGTTTCCCAAAGCTGCTGTGACAAAATAACCTCAAAGGGGGTAGCTTAAAACCATAAAAATGTATTGTCTCACCATTCTGGAGGCTAAAGTCCAAAATCAAGGTGTTGGTGAGGCCACACTCCCTCTGAAGGCCCTAGAAAAGAATCCTTCCCAGCCTTCGGTGCCTTCTGGCAATCTTTGGCATTTTTTGATTTGTAGCCCCATCACTCCCTATCACTTCATCTTCACATAGCTTTCTTCCTTGTGCCTTTGTGTGTCCTTGCCTTCTGTTATAAAGACAGAAGTCATTTGATTCAAGGCCAACCCTAAATCCAAGACGAGTTCATCTCAAGATCTTTAATTACATCTGCAAAGATCCTGATTTCCAACAAGGTCACATTCTGAGGTTCCAGGTGGATGTGAATTTTGCAGAACACTATTCAACACACTATACTGTTAAATACTCTTCCATACATAGGACAGCCCCCTCCAACAAAGAATGAACTGGCCCCAAATGTCCACAGTGCTGAAACTGCTTTAGAGGGAGACATTTCTTCTCTATAAGTAATGAGAATGTGCCTGTGCTAATCCAGACAGTTACAAACACAAAGGGTTTCAGAGCAGCTTAAAATCTAGAAACCACCCTCACCTCCACTTTTTTGGGATTACTTCCTCTGACAGTCTCTAGTATCTCCATCTTTAGACTGCATTTCCCAGACTCCTGGGTCAGCTGGAAGGCAAGAGAATAGAAGTCTGAGGTGGAAGGGTCCCCTCTCTCTGCTTCAGGTAGTACCTCTGGTTGTGGCTGAATCTCTTCCATGGCTCCAGCTCCCAAAGGACAGGCCTGTTGTGGTTCCAGCTTCTGCAGGTGACCCTAGCCCCTGAGCTCCAGGGACTAGCCCCTCCAGCTGACAGTAGCTTCCTACTCTAGCTGGCTCCTGAGCTTCCTCACTCTACCACTGTGGATCCAATTCCTTGCAAACAAAAGGTCATTAATGAAGCTTCAAGGGATGATAAAAACTTTTCACTGTCCCAAGCTACAACCCCTTCCCCCAGGCCCAAGGGTCCCCAGATCTCCTCCCCTAGCTCTCCTCCCTCAACTCCTACCCCTGGGCTGGCTCCAAGAAAGCTTTGCGCAAGATTGAAAGGGTCCCTTGTTTCTGCAGATTGGGAAAGGACTCCTCCTTAAGGATTGCTGAAACAACGTGCTCTGTAGGCTCCAGCTCCACTGGCAGCTCACCTGGAAGGTGGGGAGGGAGCTGCCTCCACTCCCCCTGAAAAGTGAGTCACTCTGTCAACATGCCCTTCGGATGTCACAGCTGGTTCTACCAGATCCCCTGGAGCAGGGCCATGTCCTTGCCAAGCAGAACCGTCTCCCTCCTCCCTTGTCAAAAGTACAAGGTGCATGCCAGGCAGAAATATCCAGAACTCCATTCTATTCAAAAGTCTTTCAGACTATTACAGTCTTTGTAAGACAATTATTAGCGAATGACATAGAGGAACAAGACCTCTCTCCTTGCCTTCAGTCTCAATCCGCACCCCAAAGGAAATCGTTATTAACAGTTCATTGTGGAACATTCAGATTCTGTGTAATGCATATTCAATTTTTTAAAACTTTTTAACACTTTTTTAAAAACTGATCTTTATTGTTGAAAGTATTACAGATGTTCCCTCCTTTTTCACCCTTATTGACCCCATCCACCCTGCTTCCATCCCCTCAGTTTTATTAGGATTTTTTATTTTTTACTTATCCTCACCAGAGGACATTTTTGCATTTATCTTCAGATAGAGCGGGAGGGAGAGAGGGAGGAAGAGAGAGAGACATATTGAGTGGTCGCCACCCAAACAACCCCAACCGGGGCCAGGGACAAACTGAAACCGAGGTACGTGCCCTTAGCAGGGACTGAACCCCAGACTCTAAAGCCAAAGCTCTAACCGCTAAGCCAAACCAGCCAGGACTTTATTAGGATTTTTTAAGACCGATTTTAGGTTTACAGAAAATTTGAGGGGAAGATACAGAAATTTCCTGTACTCTCCCTGCCCCGCCCCATGCATAGTCTCCTCCATGACCAACATCCCCCACCAGAGCAGTCCATTTGTTATGATTGATGAGCCAGCGCTGACACATCATTATCACCCAAAGTCCATAGTTTACATTATGATTTACTCTTGGTGTTGTGCATTCTGTGGGTTTAGACAAAATGTATAATGACATGTATTCACCATTAAGGTATCATATTTTCAATGCCCTAAAAATCCTCTGTGCTTTGCCTACTTACCTCTCTAGTAACCCCTGGCAAACACTGATCTTTTTACTGTCTCCATAGTTTTGCCTTTTCCTGAACGTCATAGAATTAAAACCACACAGTATGTAGCCTTTTTAGATTGGCTTCTTTCACTCAGTAATATGCATTTTAATGCTCTTCGATAGATTTCCATGGCTTCATAGCTCATTTCTTTTTAGTGCTGAGTAATATTTCATTGTGTGGAAGTATCACAGTTTATTTAATTTTTTTTAATCCTCACCTGAGGATATGTTTATTGATTTTAGAGAGAGAGGAAGGGAGAGAGAGAGAGAGAGGGAGAGAGAGAGAGAGCAACATCCATGTTCAAGAAAAACATGGATTGGTTGCCTCCCATACATGCCCCAACCAGGGATCAAACCCACAACTTTTTGCTGTACGGGATTATGTTCTAACCAACTGAGCCAGCAGACCGTAGCTATCACAGTTTATTTATCTATTCACGTACTGAAGGGCATCTTGGTTGCTTACAAGTTTTGGCAATTATGATTAAATGTGCTATAAACATCCATGTGCAAGTTTTGGTGCGGACATAAGTGTTTAACTCCTTTGGGTAAATACCAAGGAGGGGCATTGCTGGAGTTTATGGGAAGATTATGTTTGGTTTTGCAAGAAACTGCCAAGTGTCTGTACCAGCAATGAATGAGAGTTTCCTGTTGCTCCATATCTTCACCAGCATTAGGTGTTGCCAGTGTTTAGAATTTTGGCCATTCTGGTGGGTGTGTGTTGGTATCTCACTGTTGTTTTAATTTGCATTTCCCCATGACCTGTGGTATGGAACATCTTTTTATATGCTTATTTGCTGTCTGCATATTTTCCTTGGTGAGGTGTCTCTTAAGGTCTTTGACCCATTTTTTAAATCAGATTGCTTCTTTTCTTAACGTTTTATGAGTTTTAAGAGTTCTTTGAATATTTTGGATAACAGTGCTTTATCAGATATGTCTTTTGCAAATACTTTCTCTCAATATGCAGCATGTCATCTCATTCTCTTGATGCATATTCAGTTTTTAAATTTAAATTTTATTTTACAAGTAACACAAAATTTATCTTTTTGGGGAATAAAAATGAAAAAAAAAAAAAATCTGCCTTGACTTTACCCCCCATCTGAGTCTACATTTCTCTGTGTTTTTGTCTGTCCATATTTCTA